CGGGACAAAGGGCAGAGCTTGAGGGTGGGCAGCCCGCCGCCGGCTTCTGAAGGGACCTTCTGGACCAACCATTGAAGAAATGTACGTGCACACAGACGTGTGTGTTTAGGCTTGCACTGAGACAAGAGCGGTGCCTCCGCCTCGTCCTCCTGCGCCCGGGCCGGAGCAGCGCTGGCACCGGCTGGAAGCTGAAGGTGTCCAGGGCCGAAGGGAGAGGGCAGAAGAAATTAATTACATAGATACTATATTCCAGGAGATTTATCTGATCTGCCAAAAGGAGGAAGGGGTGAGGGGAGAATGCAGATAGCCCCCCGGAAGGAGTCACCCAGGCCTCTTGCCCGCGCCTCAGCAAAGGAAGAACAGAACTGAAAGAAAGATGGGGGGATTTTTTTTTCCTTCACGTGCAAACGCGCCGCATGACTAGATCGTCACTGTTTGTGGCAACTTACAAAACTGTAAAGTTCACGCTGCCAGGGACAGTGCGCTCCTGTACTGCTGATTTGAGCAGTTGCTGCTCTCCCTACCATATAGGGCAGCACTTTTACCAAGCGCTCGCTCTCCCCTTGCGCGCTGCCCGGCTCCGCCGCGCCCGGCCCTGCGCGCACACACGCGTGCGAGCGCGCACATCTCACACGCGTGTGCGCGCCTGGAGCGCTCCGGAGAGTGCGTGCGGGAGGGGATGCAGATATCCCTTGTGCGCGTCCTTCTGTGTTGCCCCTGTGGATGTAGAAAGAGCGAGAGAGGGTGTGTAATGGAGAGTGTGCGGAAGAGTGTTCATGGCTCCGCGAGTCCGGAGAGGAGCTGATGAGCAGCATCATCGTTTGGCTTCTGCAGCCTGCTCGCAGCCGGAGAGGCTGCCTTGCATTACAAAGCCTGCCTGCCTTCGCTGCCTGCCTTCTCCGCCTGCCTGCCGGCCGCGGGAGGAGACGGAGCCGGGGCCGGGGCCGGAGCGGGAGGGGGCGGGCCCGCCGGGCTATGCAGATGAGCGGCGGTGATGGACAGCTCTGTTTTCCAATGTCCCTCAGAAACTCGAGTGCTGCTTCCCTCAACTCTTCACTCCAGACTCTATACTTCCCCCAAAATACAGGCTCGCAGGCGCTGGGGGAGCTGGCTGGCTGACTGGGAGAACTCCATATGCAGCAGCCACTTTTCTGATTTCGGGGTCTCGCTTCTCTCTCTCCCCCCTCCCCGCCCCCGCCCCCGTCTTCCTCTCTCGTTCTGTTTCTTTCCCTTTCTCTTTCTTTTTTTATTAACCCTCTGTGCTTCCATCTCTCCCAGATGCCCTTCCCCTCCCGGATAGATTTCTGACCTTTCCTACTAATTTTCCATTTGGAGGGTTTTTTTGGTTTTTTTTTTTTT